CATTTTTTTTTTTTTTCTTTTAAAATGCAGGAACATGAGGTCTTTATCTTATTACCAGGACATACCTTATAATTTGGATCTAGAATGGTCCTCAAACTCAAAATTAAGAGATGTTGTGCACCAGTTCCAACAGGTAACTCTTGCAGATTTCTATACTTGGTTGAATATGTCTTTCATTTTTCATCTGTATCTTTTTTTCATTCCTTTTCTTGATGCATAATTTCTTTTGTTCACTTTGATTTTCATTCATGTATCGTCGACTGTTCCCAGCATGTCAATCAATTCCAGTATTTCTGGTCCACTATGCATGACATAGATCAGTCTCTTTGGGTGACCGATCCCATACACTTCCATCATGCGATGTCATATCGCCAAATTAAACTTGGTTAGTTCTCTTTCTCGGTTTTCTGATGAATTATTTATTGCTTCTTTCTCATTTTCCTGCTCCTTTTGCTAAACGTCGCTTTTTTTTTTCTATTTTTTCAAGGAGACGATTGCTTTCTCCAATTGTATATAGATGTAAATGATCCACTCTCTTTACCAGAGTATGTTTTTTTTAAAAAAAAAAATTAGTTTTACATGGTTTGCATTGTTAAAAAAAAAATAATAAATAAAAAATAAATCAAAAAAATCTGTGAAACCTCTCACTGCTTGGAGTTTCTTACTTGTAGGTGTCGTTTTCTGGGTTCAGATTCCTCCGTGAACTCTTTGAGGAGTTTATGGATGCGAAATTGTAAAAAATGGTAAGCAACCTGTGACTATGCTTTTGTTCTTTTATTTTATTATTTTATTTTTTTCTTTTTCTTTTTTAGGTGTTTTGGAGTCAGTTAGTCAAATATCCACAAGCTCTATATATCATAGTCTGAGAATTTTTGGATAGTAATGTCTTTCTCTGGTATTAGTGTTTGTTTATGGTTCTGATACTGTTATCATGTGGATAGTATTGCGTTGCTTAGATTTGTATCCAATGCCAAAAAGGTTTAAGCTAGATGTTCAGCATAATGCTACTGAAATTTCTGGATTATTGCTTATTGGTTTACAGGAATTTCCATAATTTTGATCTGCTGCTAAAGTCAAAGCCAAAATTCTTACCCTAAATCTCATAGATATGTCAATAAATTTTTACATTTTACTTTTTTTTTTTAATTTTTATTTTTCGAAAAAGCATAGCATGCCAAAGCAGAACCTAGGATAATGCTTTGATGATTCAATCGTAAGTTTTCCAATCTATTGGTCATCATCAATGAGGTGTTATTATATAGTATTGTGATGCTGGTGTCCCTAAGCGCTTCACTACTTTCTTGTCTATCCACAACCAAATGATAAATGGTCTCTGTTATGAGGTTCCAACATGTTTATTATTCGCCTTTACTTGGTCTTATTTGTCTTTGACCTAATATTTTCATTCTATAGGTCGAAGGACAAATCATATGCTGAAAATCTTGCATGTATTTTAAACACTCAATTACCCCTGCCTCCACATCGGCGGAAGAATGAGGAGCAGATTGAGTGTGGCATATGTTATGCTCAATTTCTTCCCGTAGGTAAATATATGCCCCTCAGTCCTCTCAAGACATATAGTTTGATGCCTGAGCTTGAAGAAACTAGTCCTTTTTGCCTTTGGTCACCAGGGACTGACTCACTTGAACACGGCCATGTATTTAGTGGCAGAGTGTTAGCTGTTACACAAATAAACTACCTCAAAGGATAACTACCATTAGGCTATGTATCATTTTGTTCTCTGATTTCTTAGCAAGAACACTCAATACAACTAGCCTAGGAGCCACAATCACTTTTCACCCTTTCTTTCTTTCCTTTATTTATTTATTTATTTATTTTTTTAAATTTATTCCTTTGTATCTTTTTTTCTTAAAAGGATAATACTCATCCATATTTCAACTTTTAAAGGCAGATAAATGTAAATAGTAAGGGTACCTAATGATTATGTATTCATTGATTTTGTGTTTCTTGACCTAGATGATGAACTTGGTGCTAAGAGTGGAAGTGCAACTGATTATAGATGTGAAAACGGGAGTTGCAATCGGGCGTTCCATATTGTTTGTATAGTCGACTGGCTCCGTTCCATAACAACAACAAGGCAGTACGTTATGTTCTTCACATCCTTCTATTTTCAAATTCTTGTTCGTGGTAGACATTAGAAGGAATCAGTTCCAGGTGTAGAAAACAAATGTGGAGCTTATTGTTAGACGTCTTCTCAGTTATACAAATATTCAGGTCCGAGTTCACCTCTTTCCTGTTTTCCATGAATGAAGTTATCGCATAGCCTGATCATACATCTGGCGAAGAAAATTAAGACGTGATTTTGTGAATCCTCCCTTTGCATTGTTCCTGAATCATGTGTACATACCGTTTCCCATGTCTTAGGTTTAGCTAATTTCATATGAGCTTTTTCTGCACAGCACTGATTAATTGATATCTGATCTAGTTTTTTCTGCATTTGCATTTTATTGCAGGTCATTTGATGTCCTTTTTGGGAACTGCCCTTATTGTTCAGATCCAATTGCGGTAAAAATCAGCACAAACTAAGTAAATTTTTTTACTAAATTTCTGCATGAATACAACTGCTGCCAATCTAAAGGAGAGACCTTTCATAATATTTGATTTGAAGAATGCCTTTTAGCCACTTTGTCCTTGTAATCTTCTAGTAAATTATGTCTGGCGAAGGACAGTAGGAGTTGCCATTAATGATTTAATGGCACATATCTTCATTAGTCATAACTAGACAGATGATGCAATCGAAATATTATATGTTATATATAATTTGAAAGGGTAAATAATATTTCGCATCATGTATTATTCGCTGATTTAGGGAATGCAACCTACAAAATTTTTGATAGCAAATTGCAACCTTTAACACACGAAATGTCTGTATCGCAACCTCCGAACATCGGCGACACATTTTCCACCGGAAAAGTGGGTGTGAGAGATGCCCACACCAAACAGGAAAACTTTTTCATTGCATTAATTGGATTTCCTACAATTATACTTATATTCCACATACTTAATGAGTATGTGAGATTAAGATCCAAGCTATTAATTAGGGATTAAGATGTGTGATTAAGATTTAGCTTTTTATTTTATTTATTTCAATTATTTAAATATTATTTAGACCATTTCACTGTTGACCGTTGATTGTTGACTGTTGACTTCTGACGTTCACCGTTGGCCATAGTATGCATTATGTATAAAGTAAATTTGCATTTTGCAGTATACACTTGATATGAATTAAATATATATTTGGTATGAATTGAATATACAATTCTTATAATTAAATATACAACAATAATATATGAATTAAATATATATTTGGTATGAATTGAATATACAATTCTTATAATTAAATATACAACAATAATATTAATTGAGTATGCATTGTTTATGAATTAAATATGCACTACATATAAATTAAATGAGCATTTTGCATGAACTAAATATGCAATTAAATGTTCATTTTATATATTAATTCAAATATAATAATAATTATTTTTTATTATATAATTAATGTAGATTTCAACCGATTGATATGACCATTGTCTACACAAATAGATAATTATGAACGGATCTCACATGAACTAAATATGCACTTTGATGATTTAAATATGTATTTCATATGAATTAAATATGCATTATGTATATAATTAATTTATGTATCTGTAACGCGTCGATATTCAAAAGGAAAATTTGACATTTTAAAGAGTGTTAACAAAGTTTGAAAAGTATTTAGCACTCTAGCCTTTGAAAACAAAGGGAATTATATAGTTATTGTTGCGAACTCTCATAAAATAACTTATAAATGACTTAATAACGTAAACTTCATGATCTTTTTTTTTTTTTTTTCGAAACGACAGAATTTATATCCCATATAAACAAAATGTGGGTCGAAGCCAATACAATAGTTCAATGGTAGAAGGAGCATCTGCTCCTTACAGACACCCAGAGAATGAGATGATCTGCCGGCAAAGGCAACGACTTAGAACCAGAGAGCCCAACTCCGTCTCCCACTTACTAAACTCCCTAAGCAAAGGAATCCAAAAGCATTCAAAAATAATTAGCCACTGAACCTCCAACAGGACCTAATATCAAAAGCCTACCAACACCAACAAATAAACTACAACATTTAATATTAATCAACAAAACAGAACATGCAGCAACTTTGTACAAGAACTAAGTGAAACAGAACAACACATAATTATCTATATTCAGAAAGTGTTACCTTCATAGTATCAGCTTCTGATCTCAAAACCTGTTGAGAAACCCAGAGTTTGCGGGTTTTCCACAATCACCAGAGGAGGTAGCATGTGAATTGGACTCTATCTTCAGAGATTGGTGCTTTGTTAATGGAGCATAGCTTAATCCACCAGTAGCCATGCATTCACAGGAATGTCTTCAACTTTATTCTAATACTCCCAAGAAAACCATAGAAAACAACTAGTTGAGTATTTTTGTGGTTCGTCCCTTCTTTTTGGTTTTGCTAATTCTGATTTGTATGAAAATTTTGCTCAAATGGCTCGGTTGTATCTCGAGTTCCACATAGTACTCTCACCCGTGATATTAGAAAAATTGTGAGTCAGAAAAAACTAATTTTGGCTCGAACTTTTGAAACTTTAAACCAAAGAATTTCTATATGTTGTGACATTTGGTACAAAAGGTCATGCTAACTGTCGAAAATGATGAAGCATTCGATTTTACTCGTACTAGTGGAACCGCCAGAAATGAAGAGGACTACGACACATACGAGTACGAGTAATAGACAGTCGGTTCAATTCTGCTATCTAATTTTATCAGGGTAAGTATAGTAAGAGAGCTACAAGGACTTTGATTCTCAAGGTAAGGGGATACGTAGACAATTCAATTGACATGCTACAGTTAAAATATCATTTTGTAACCTAAAAATTTTTTTCAACCAAATTGATATTTTAACCTATAATATGTCAACTAAGCCCAAGTCTAATTTCTTTAA